TAGCCATTAAAGGTGCATAATATCAGCCCTCAGCTTCTTTGACCATTGCAGATGTCTTTTTTTATGCCAATATTAAATGCATTGACAGAGACAGCGGTAAAACCATAGGGAAATCAACTGTAAATACATGTAAAGAGGCTATATATGATAGTAGGATTGTTCTCAGGGTTCATTCAGGCACAGGGAACCGATTCAAATGTGACCTCTTCACTACAAACAGCCGCTAAACATTATTACTGTCCTCAAAGACTACAGGTCCTTAACAAAACAAAAAAAAACCTTCAGACTTTAGCCTAATATTTACACACTTCTCATTTCCTGGAAAGAAAAAATAGGGAAATCAACTGTAAATACATGTAAATAGGCTATATATGATAGTAGGATTGTTCTCAGGGTTCATTCAGGCACAGGGAACCGATTCAAATGTGACCTCTTCACTACAAACAGCCGCTAAACATTATTACTGTCCTCAAAGACTACAGGTCCTTAACAAAACAAAAAAAAACCTTCAGACTTTAGCCTAATATTTACACACTTCTCATTTCCTGGAAAGAAAAAAAAAAAAGACCATAAATAATAATATTGCCCCAAAATCATCAATTCGTAAATTCATGCAACCATTTTTTGGCATTTTCCACCAATTCATTTAGGTGAATTATTTAAATAATCTTTAAAAATGAGAATACACAATGAAGTTACTGTCCTACTTGTATTTGTTATCTAAAACTTATTTCAACGAAGCTACCTCTCAAAAACTGGATTTTCTAACAAGGACATGCATTCGTCAATTTTTCGACCAATCGCATAATATTTCATGATCTGAATGCTTTACGCTGTCATGCATGATGTAGGTTTCTAAAAGTTCAAATCTGGGGTCTGTCACACTGACAGTATTATTGCTTTGCATGTTCTGGGATTAAAGAGGTCTGATGAGAATAAGCAATAGATGCAACAGTAATTTGTCATACTCATAAAAAGAAAAGCGTGCTAAAAATCGTCTGTCTGACCTCCGTACCGCCCACAGCTGAAGAAGAAAATAACACAAAAAGAAGGGCGGGCCACGTCCTCTTACCCTGTTATTACACCAAAAGGACACTAAACCAAGCGGCTACATGTCAAGCGTGTGAGTCTGTGCGACCTCAAAAAGGCTATCTGAAGATAAGCTACCGTATAACAGAAAATGCTACAAGAGGAAATAAGCTACAGGCTCCACCGCAGGATCCTTTCCACTCACACGATCACACTATAATGCGAAGCTTTTACTCTTAATAAAGACCTGCAGAAATGTATGCAATAAGAGAAGAATTCAAAGCACCACCAGACTCATAAGCAACTATTAAAAGTACGTAAAAGGTTTCAGGCCGTGACATTCTGTCTCTGCGTCCCTCCAAAGGCAGGATGCGATCGGTACCAGGCACAAACTCAACCCTCACTTCCACATAAAAGCATACTGTACCTACTGTACATGATGCCAAAACATCAACCATTCATTGCTAACAGAAACCCCTCGTGCATCAAGTCAACATCTACTTCCTTCACCTTGTGAAAAAGAAGCACACTTTAGCATACTTTTAAAAAGAGTATTAGGGAAATGATACACTTTGAAAGAATATACTTGATTGTTAATTGAACGTAATGTTTTCAGACACTTAATTGCATGGTAAATGAAATTAAAGTGTATTATGGTTTAAATGTATATTAAATGCAATAAGCTGAACTTAGGAATGCTTTTTTTGACCCACTTAAGTAGGACTTAATTACATCTTTACATGCAATTTCATAATTCTTTTCTCTTTGATGGTTAAAGTGTAAACGCGTGTAAAACTACAAAATAGTTTAATGTCATTTCTGTTGAAACTTGAAAAAATATATTTTTAAATACAAACTTGTAATTAAGTTGTAGTTTAGTAAAATAAATTAAACCTAAATATTTCAGAGCACGTAACAATTAAATCAAATGTTAATAATCAAGTATTTTACATGTGCTTTAGTATGTTAGTCAGCACATCAAAATAAGTGTACTTCTTTAAAGATTATTAAAATAATGACTCAAAATGTAATTTAATGTAAAATTTAATTTCAGATTATAGCAAAGAGTGTTTAAGTATGTATGTAGTTATGAAAGCATACTTTAAATACACTTAAGTGGGCTTTTATTTCAGTTATATTATACTATGATCAATATATTAAATGTACTTTTAAGATTTGAGGCAACAAGCGCACTTCTTTTTCCACAAGGAAACACGTTCACCTCAGACCCTCTTCACGTTCACGAAGCCGTCTGGAGCTGCGTTTGACACTATGAGCGCTGTTTGCTGTGCGTTTACATGGAGCTTCATGTCTTATAGGCATTGTAGGAGACTTTATATTGCTTTACAATAACGAGGAAAAGGAAACATCCGCTGGTCACGAAAATAAAACGAAGAGTCAAAAGAAAGCGTTTAACAACACAGGTCATTGCTACAGTATTCACTCAAACACACACACATCACGAATAGTTTTAGAGAGATTCAGAAAACCTATGTGCTTCAAAGTCAGCTCTACTGGAGGTCAAGGGTGAGGTGAGCGAGGGTCACATGACAGCCCTGTATGCTGAATGAAGCTGCCTTCAAATCAAGCGGGAATGATCGTGCTTACAAAATCTAGACTTTCCAAGTTAAAGCTGTTATTAGCCATTTTAAGTGTAAATGTTTCAGAAAATACTTGTTTAGGCATAAAGGGATGTTCACACTACACGTTTAATTGACTTCCATTTATACGCATGCGAACGTGGAGACAAAAAGCAAGCTTATCAAAGTTTGGTAAGCTCTGCGAAGATGTATGATGTGAAGACATACAACAAATAAAAGATCATGGCATGACCTCTTAGCTGCAAAAAAAAAAAAAAAAACCTGCAGAATTGCATTTTTTTTAACATGTTGAATACATTAAATGTTGAATGATGTTTTTAAAGACGCCACTGTAAAAATTACATTTTGTGGTAGTAAATAAAACTGTGTATTTTACAATAAAATGTTTCTGTTTTTCTACTTTAACCCCTTAACTGTCACACATTTTTGAACATAGACGTGAAAGTGCACGATCCAAACTTAAATTTTTACAATTCATGAATGAAAACATTTTGTAACATGATTTTGATGTACCATTTTCATGGTAATGTCTGATTTTTAAATGGGTTTCAAAGGATGAATTTTGAGATTTGAAGTTTTCAATTGATATATAATTTATGATGATTTCTAAAGTGAAATGCAACGAAGAAGACTTTTTTTGTGACAAAGGTCAGAACTCCTGTTATGATGTAGATTTTTGAGGTCTTTTTTTGTGACAAAGGTCAGAACTCCTGTTATGACGTAGATTTTTGAGGTGCACAATCTATTACTTTTCCTACATAATTTTTTAACAAAAAACTGTGGTAAAATATCTATTTAGGAGTCTTAGACCTTTCCAACAATATATAGTTTGTCACGATTAGATTAGGATTTTTATTGAAGTAAACATAGGCGTCCCACAGAGGGGACGGGTGACAGTTAAGAGGTTAAAATTGCATGTTTAATTAATGCATTGAATGTAATTGTGAAACTTACTAGCAATTTCTGAGTGGAAATGGTTTCTACACTATATATATTTAAAAAAAAGGATCGTGGTAGTACCCTTGCTGTCTATGGGAGGGTCAGAGAGCTCTCGGATTTCATCAGAAATATCTTAATTTGTGTTCTGAAGATGAACGAAGGTCTTACGGGTTTGGAACGACATGAGGGTGAGTAATTAATGACAGAATTTTCATTTTTGGGTGAACTATCCCTTTTATGCACATCCTTTGCTCTTCATTTTGTTGCTTTGGCACAAAAAAAAAGCTCGATTTTGTCAGAAAGTGCTTTTTTTTTATATGACACGATCGCATGGTAAATAACTCGTAAGCACAAACTTCCCATGAGGACTTGAAGGCAGCGAGAGATGATGTCCAGATGGATCCAGATGTGTTTGCATGTGGTGATCAGATGGGTATGTGCAGGTTTGATTATGAATACTAGATTCATGCTCTACAACAAGTGATGTAGCAGGTGTGCTGATTTCTAGGTGTGAGTAGCGTGAGTTTAGCCATGTTACAGTGTGACCTCAGAGTTTACAGATTTCGCTCCAACTGAGGGCTTGTTTTGCACATCCTGATGACTGTAGTCTGTACAGCCTCACCGAGCAGAACCGTCAACAGAGAGCACACCAATCATGTGAGTCTTAGCAATGGAAGGAGGCGGGGTTTAGAGAACAGCGGACCAATGAGAAGACAGAAATCACATCCGGAGTCCAGTGAGCGAGCCGACGTCGCCCCCTTGTTCCTGGGAGGAGAGGAGGGCCGGGGTGGTGTGAGAGGTCGCGAGGGAGTCGTTGAGCGAGACAGGGTGGGAGTGGACAGGGCTGTATTTTACTTTAAATAAAATGTTACATCTGTTTTTATTCAATATTTTGATTTTACTTTAAACAATAAAATGTTACATCTGTTTTTATTCAATATTTTTACCTAATTAAAACGATTAAATGTGCATTCAATATTTTTATTCAATATTTAGATTTTACTTTTTAAAAAAATTGTTACATTCAATGTTTTTATTTAATATTTTGGCGTAATTAAAAAGATAAAATGTGTATTCAAATTTTTATTGAAGATTTTGATCTTAATAATCTTAATCTTAATAATATTTTTTTTTTTACTTTACTCTAAAAATGTTATTCAATGTTTTAATTTAATGGTTTTATTTTAATAAAAAAATGTAAATGCTACATTCAATGTTTTTATTCCATATTTTGATTTTACCTAAAATGTTACATTTAATGTTTTTATTTAACATTTTGAATTTACTCAAAAATGTTATATTCAATGTTTTAATTTCAATAATTAGATTTTACTTTCAATATTTTGCTCTTAACTTAAAACAAAAAATAAAATGTTCATCACATTTTCATTTTTGGGTGAACTATCCCTTTAAAGCCATTTAAATGACTATTTAGGGTTTCATCATACCTGGTTTATGTTTGATGTTGGCCTTGGAGCCACACTTTGAAGCCACTTTACTCAAGTCAACCTTCTTGTTGAGAATCTGGACCTGTGAACACACAATCATCTGATGAAGCTGCTCAAATCGAAGCTCCACTGCTAAAATAAAAGACGTCGCAAGCAGTGCTTGAACCTTGAAGGTGATGAAAAACATCTCTAAAAACTCTGAGATTTCAGAGAGCATCGCAGCAGATTTCAGTTAGTGTGAGTGAAGATTATGAACAAACGTCCAGAATGCAAACCTCTGCTGTCACCATGATTTGCTTTGGAACGCTGTTTTGGAAAATGCAGCTCAGCAACATAGGATTTGGCAGCGTTTCTCCCAGCTCTTAAGTGAAGAAAGCGTCTCATTGTTGGGTCTGAGCGCATCGTGTGGCACAGTGACTGTCTGTGTTTGTCTGAACGACGGCTACACCGCATGCAGTAACGTTACTTACGTTCCCTCCACCAGGAACATGTTTCATATTGTCCTTGGAGCCCAAGCGAGAAGTCACGTGACTGTAGTCCAGTTTTTTGGAGACTATCTGAACCTACAACACAGCACGGCGGGCCGGGAGGGACGGGACACCAGGGAGGTTCAGGTTAGAGAGGGAAGACAACAGAGGACACAAGCAGAAGCATCTGAAAGCAACTAGCATCATTGACAATGAAGACGCCCTGCTGATTGTTAGTGTGAACACCATTAGGGCTCTTAAATACACCGTTTCCTCTCGTTTGTAAACTTAGCTAATAAAAATCACCAATTAAGTGAATGAAACTGATACAAAACAGAAATGACTGAGGAGTATCTGGTTGGTGAGCTACTAATGGACATTGTGATGCAGGGATATTCAGTTCAGTGAACTGTCACCAAAAAATGTCTATGAATAATGCAATGCCATTACTTTGGTGATTGTTCACTGCTGCACATTTTAAAACCAACAAGGGTTAAGCAATATTATAATTATATTTACAGCCAGCATTTTCTTAAGTGCTACCCAAACTGTGCAATTTGAGCATCCCGGCTGTGGGATAAACAATGACTGGATGATTAAAAACCCAATGCAAGCACCCAAAGATCTCCAGAAGGAAAGACGGATGATTACTAGCTGAACAATGTGTTTTTTTCCATCTGATATCAATATCTGCTGAGAAAATGAGCAATACAATCACACATCTATATTCTTATTATATTGCTATTATTATTAATTAATTCGATTTTATTGAAAAACATAATTATATATAAATCATGAATATATATCAAAACATTATTGTATAAAATATTAATGAACATTATAACAGTTATATAAATAACTCAATAATTTATACTTAAGTATATTTTCTATCATTTATTTTGTATTATAGTACTAAAATTTGAGATGAATCAAAGTAATACAATTTTAATAACAATAACACAGTAACACTATATAAGAGAAATGTGTGTATTTTAGGTTTATTAGGTATATATTATTAATTATAATAAATAATTAATTAAATAGGTAATAAATATTTGGCATATTAACATATTAAATATATACTATTAAAATATATAATATCATAAAAACACAAAAATATATATTATACACAAAAATACATACACACACAATTTTATTCAATTAATTAATTCATGTAAAGTATTTAAAAATTAAATATATAATAAATAAAAATAATAAATAATTAATTAAATAGGTAATAAATATTTGGCATATTAACATATTAAATATATACTATTAAAATATATAATATCCTAAAAACACAAAAATATATATTATACACAAAAATACACACACAATTTTATTCAATTAATTAATTCATATAAATTATTTAAAAATTAAATATAAAATAAATAAAAATGCATTTTAATATTTAAAAAGTGTTAAAACATTTTCATATGAAACTATTACACTAATATTATCTGGCATATTTCTTTAACTATATATGAAGAGTTCATTTGCAAAAACAGATGAATTTTATTTTGATGAAATAAAAAACTAAAAATACAGCTAACTAACACAATAAAACAATAAAAACATAACATCATAAAAAAACATGATTTTTTGGAGTCATCTGTTTTTGCAAATAAACTCCATATAATATTTAATTGAACAGTTCTCAGTCTATCACGCTACAACTAAAGACACACACTGTAATGTCAGATCTGTGTGGGCTATATTGAGAAGAGAAGGGGAGTTAGACAGAGATGTGCAGAGGTGAGTGTGATGAGCTGATGAACTCACTTTGGCCTGGCTGGTCTCTTTGGAGGGCGAGCTCTGAGACACTGAGACCTGCAGGCAGAACAAGCCCAGATACAGCCCTCGAGTCAATCGCTTGTACTGTACGTGTGGAGATGGGACGAGCTAAAACCTACTGTAACCTCACATGAGAAGCAGGAAAGCTTTAGGATCAGAGGAAGAGGCAGGAACAGGGGCGGTGAGTAACGCTCTTCAGTGCAGCGTGACAGTCTCACGTGGACAAACTCCAGTCATGCATGATTCGTCTTCATGCTCCAAACACATAACTGTGAGCTCGCTTTAAAACCTCACTTATACAAGACGAAGCTCTTGAGCTCTTTGTGGTGACAGGAGACGTTCCTCAGGAACAGGAGAGTGTTAGAGAGTCATACCGAAAGAGCTCAGCCAGGAAAAAGACCAGGATGAACCACAAACATGAGAGGAGGGATGCAATACCAGAAAGTGAAGCTGTGACTTCAGGACGTGAGTGATGAATAATGATTATGAAGACTGGAGCTAGTTTACATATCAAAAGGCTAATATAGACGTCAACATGAGCAGAATAGACACTCTAAAGGAATGCGAATCATGCTGCTTTTCACTCATTATCACATTAGACTGGAAAACAGGACTCTGTTTGCAGATAGATAGAAAAATAAGGACAGAAGTGTCCAAAACCAAAGGCAGTGACTTTACAAGGCAGCGTTGTAGTATATAGAGAATATTTAATGATTGATGTGCTTATTTTTCTCTAGAAATGCAATTAAAAGCTGAAAAAAGGATATTTATTCATTAATAATTACATGATGTTAACATCTGATTAAGACATTATTGTTTATTAATTATATATACAATATTTAATAATTACAATACATGATATATTTAAAAAAACTTACATTTTATATAGTAAAACAATTACATATATTGCATATATTATATTATTACTTGTTTTATAATTATGTAATAATTCTATATAATATCTACATATTATATTTGAATATATAAAAAGGATACATGAATATTTTAATAATAATAATACAATTAATAATATTAAAGAAGATTTGCACTGATGCCTCTGGATGCTGCCTGTAACGTCACAATTTCTCAGGTTTCTGACGCAGTTACCGTCATGCAAGAAAGACTTAAGTCTGTTTAAATAATGCTGTTTCAGAAGACAGCGGCACATTCTGCAAAAGAGAAACTGCTGTCGTAATAAAAATGACTAAAATTACTAAAAGGAGAAACTGAAATAAAAATAAATTAAAGCTAAACAGAATTATAAAACCAATGAAAAAGAAAAAAAAGCACATAAAATTTATGAAACAAAAATTTAAATGAAAACTGAAAATAAAAAATATATATTATCAAATAGTACAATAGTATGTAAATAGTAAATATAATAAATAAATAAAACTGCAAAGCATCACCACTGTACTTTTTTTCCTAAGTGTGCAACATATATATGGGTCAAAGACGAAAAAGGGTTTAAGTATAAAAACATTAAGTGTAATACTGCTTCAAATTGTTGTTGTTTTTCCCCAAATTTTTTTTTTTAAGTTTTCTGTTTAATTTAATTGCAATTTTGTTTTTGTTTTTCTGAGCAAAAAATAAATATCATACATTTTCCCCTGATTTACAGAAGAGACCCACTAAAATGTCATTCAGTGTAACAATCTTGTCAGGCATATTTACAACAAAAATCAATTTATGACATATTAAAAGACTAATTACTTTCACCCCAAATACTAACTAGTTGTAATTTTTAATTTTTAAAATTTGCCACTATCCTTTGTCAGTAAGAATATTTTACTCATTTAAAACACAATCAAATTTAATATGCTCTCTTATTCTTTTATACATTTTAATATGTACAAGTCAGAATGAGCATGTTGTTTGAATTTTTACATAGATATTGTGTTACACTGAATGACAATGTAACATTATTTCAACCAAATTTTGACATTTTATTCTCCAAAAACTTATTTGAAACCTTAAAAGTAGACACTTTACTTACATTTAATGTGCTTTCTATGGACATAAAATCACTTTTGTAAATTTCTTTTGATGCGGACACCTTTGACCCACATACTACTAAATAGGAAAACACTGCAAAGCTAGAGGACAGACTACTAACCGGCTATCACATTTACAGCTAACTGCTGTTCTCAGTCTCGTCCACTATGAAGGGCGCATGCATGCGGTTACCTTTCCTCCTCCCGGCTGGTGCTTGATGTTGTCTGTGGAGCTGATCTTGGAGCGGATGTTTTTGGTGTCGGGTGCCGGTGTGGAGCTGGGCCGCACTGTGCTGCGAGTCATTGCGCTGGCGCTGGAGGTGGAGCTGGAGCTGGGTCGAGGTGCGCGGGGCACCGCCGGCTTCTTCTCGGGCGCAGCAGCGGCTGTAGTGCTGCTGGAGACGGGTGTTTTGGTGGTGCGAGGGCGAGCGGCGATGCTGCTGCTTGTAGTGGTGGAGGCTTTGAGAGGAGCAGGTTTAGAGCGGGCGGCATCTGAAACCACAGACGTCAGGTTACCTTAACTATGTTTGAGAGAAACACTTGTTTGGGCTGTAGTTGAACTCTGAAACACTTCCATAGAAAGTTAAAGGGATAGTTCACCCACAAATGAAAATTCTGTCATTAATTATGTCGTTCCAAACCTGTAAGACCTTCTTCAGAACACAAATTAAGATATTTTTGATGCATTCCGAGAGCTCTCTGACTCTCCCACAGACAGCAAGGATCCTAACACGATCAAGGCTCAGAAACATAGCAAGGACATCTTAAAGTGCCCCTATTATGGATTTTTGAAAATGACCTTTTATGCAGTGTGCAACAGCTCTAAGTGAATGAAAACATCCTGCAAAGTTTTAAATCTGAAAGTCACCGTGTATAACGTTATTGTCTCTCAATAGAATGAGTCGACTCTGAATCATTTAAACAAGTCAACATGAAACATTAGCATATTGCCCGCCCACTTGTTGGTCTTTTCGGTTGGTCTGAATGAAAATGCAAATTCATTCTTTGCCACTAGCTGCCACTTTTGGAGCGGTAAAATAGCGGTTTCCCTGGTAACGCTGTACACAAAGCAGCACTGCGCTCACAAACACTGCTTTATCAGGCATTACAGGCAAGATCCAATCGGACCAATCACAGCAGATTAGCACGCAAAAGAGGGGTTTGGAAAAATGAATCACTGAGCGAATCGTTTGGGAGTCGTTGATCAAGTAAGGTAAACATAAATGCATATTTTAAGACAACGAAAGTGTTTTTTGAGCTTGCATGCATGTCGACCTGTTGTTGGGGACTCCCAAAACCAAAATATTAACCTTTCATAACCTATAATAGGGGCACTTTAAAATAATCCATGTAACATCAGTGGTTCAACCGTAACTTTACGAAGCTACGAGAATACTTTTTGTGTGCAAAGAAAACAAAAATAACGACTTTATTTGATAATTTGTCTCCATTTTGGAGAGAATCACATACGTAAACAATGTATGAAACGTATGTACGCTGATACGTTGTTTACGTTCAGATCAAAGCGTAAACAACGTAAACAGCGTATCCGCGTGGCGCAGCGGACACTTGTGTGCAAAGAAAACTAAAATAACGACTTTATTTGACGATTTGTCTCCTCCGCGTCACCGTAGCGCCATTTTGAAAAGTATCACATACGTAAACAATGTATGAAACGTATGTACGCTGATACATTGTTTACGTTCAGATCAAAGCGTAAACAACGTAAACAGCGTATCCGCGTGGCGCAGCGGACACAGAACAGCATACGTTGTTTACGTATGTGATTCTCGTATGGGATTCTTTCTGTCTATGGGAGGGTCAGTGAGCTCTCGGAATGCATCAGAAATATCTTTGTTTTTTGTTCTAAAGATGAACGAAGGTCTTACAGGTTTGGAACGACATGAGGGTGAGTAATTAATGACAGAATTTTTGGGTGGACTATCCCTTTAAGGGAAATACATGCCAAAACCTTTAGAAATGGTGTGTGTTTGAGCGATATCTGAATGTTCAGTTCGTAGCACAAAACCCTCTTTATGTGTCAGATTAAAATAATCTCTCTGCACCGCTGCGTTCGGTTCAAAGCTCTGGAAACTGGGGTAAGAAGCAGCGCAGTGGTCGACCAGCGGAGCGCCGTGTGAGAGATTATCCCAAACTCATTCCAGCTGCGCAATTCACTTCCGGATTTAAATGTGTGTCTGTCAGCACAGCATCTCTAAAAATATCTTTTACTTGTTGCTATTAAGTCACTACACTGAATTTTTGTATTTTTCTACATACACTACCGTTCAAAAGTTTGGAATAATTAGGATTTTTATAGTTTTAGAAGTGTCTAATGCACACCAAAGTTGGGCTTATTTGATTAAAAATATAGTAAAAACAGCAATATTGTGAAATCTTATTATAATTTAAAATAACTTGTAAATATTTGAATATATTTCAAAATGTACTTTATTCCTGGGATGCAAAGCTGAATTTTCAGTAACCATAAATAAACTGAATAAAAATATTTATTCTTAATCAAATAAAAAATAATTTATTTATACTCACACATTAATATATTATTCTAATTATTAATTTATTTATGATTATTACAATTTAAAGTAATTGTTCTAATTGAATATATTTTAAAATGTAATTTATTCCTGTGATGCAAAGTTGAATTTTCAGCAGTCATCAATAAACATACTAAATAAAAGTAATTTTTACGGAATACAAATATTTTTTAATTAATTTAATAAAAATATTTTAATTGTTCATACACATTATTATTATTATTATTTAAAATGATTGTGTTTTATTTGAATATATATTAAAATATAATTTATTCCTGGGATGCAAAGTTGAATTTTCAGCAGTCATCAATAAACATACTGAATAAAAGTAATTTTTACTGAATATATAATATATATATATATATATTCACTTCCTTCAACATATAGTGTTATAAGTGGTTTTGTGTTTGCTGTACCTGTAGTTTTCAGTGTGCTTGGTTTCTTTTCGTCTCCTGGTTTGCTCTCAGTCTTTGCGACTAAACACAAAAATAGAAATGCATAATGTGAATATTCCTAGCATTTCATAAATCAGCTCAAAATGCAATGGCTCCTCTTTAAATGCATCACGTCTGACCCGGGCGTCGTGCTGCAGGAGCGCTGGCGGCGGTGCGTGTTGCGGTCGCAGGTCTGTCTGCGGCGGGCCGAGCCGGAGCGACAGCAGCCTTTGGCACAGGCGGCCGTTTCTCTGTGGCCGTCTGTCGGAGGAGAAAACTCAAGGTTAGTTGGGGTCAGCTGCACTCTGATAGTCTCTCTGTAGTAAAAAAAACCCCCATCATAATCAAACAGAGATGTTTCAGCCAAACAAAAAATGTTACTGCTGCTTTAAAAATAACCTGCTAGGTTCAGATCAAGTCAGTTCCTAAAAATCCAATCACACCAATACAACTTAACCAAAAAAAAAAAATCCTTTCATATTTATTTACTATGTGACAAACCTCTCTTTTCTTATTTTGGATTCAATATTTCTTAAAATTACTGTGACAGCATGTGCTATATAATCAAAAATGAAATTGTATTTTGTGTTTGTTATTGTTAATCTAATCCCTGATTGCACATATTAACCTTCATTTAATTTCAATAGTTAAACACTGACTTTAGTCAGTAGTGTAGTTAAACAGATGGCCACTAGAGGGAAGACTTGAACTGAACATTGCTCATATTTAAAGAGATTTAACAAGAGCAAAGGTTGAGTGTGTCAGTTTTGGAAAAAAAAAAATCATCTAAAGACATAATAAACTACACTGTTTTTTTTTTTTTCACGGCCCTTCCAAGTGGTTCATGACTGGAATAAAACATTTTACAGATGCTGCAGTGAGCAATTTCTAGCTCTAGCTTCCTAAAAAATGTGTAACAAATAATTATGACTTTCCGAGCTCTAATATTAGTAAGCTTCTTTATAGACGTACATCAAGATTCATAAAGCATTATTTTTATTCAGCAAGGATGCATTAAATTGATCAAGTATCGGTAAAGACATTTGTTACAAAAGATTTATATTTCAAATAAAAGCTGTTCTTTTGAACTTTCTATTCATCTGTGAATCCTGAAAAACTAAATGTATCACCGCTTCCACAAAAAATATGAAGCAGCACAACTGTTTTCAACATTGCTAATAATCAGAAATGTTTCTTGAGCAGCAAATCAGCATATTAGAATGATTTCTGAAGATCATGTGACACTGAAGACTGGAGTAATGATGCTGAAAATACAGCTTTGATCACAGAAATAAATTCTATTTTTACAGATATTCACATAGAAAACTGCTCTTTTAAATTGCAATAATATTTCACAATTTTACTGTATTTTTAATCAAATAAATGCAGCCTTGCTGACCTCTTTTGATAATCAACCCCAATCTTTTGCACCGTGGAGTAGTTTAAACAACAGTAAAGCTACAAAACACATGTTGACGTGGTCAAGCATGGACAGCACACACAAACAGAGCATCCATGCAGAGATGAGCGTCTGGAAGAGGGTTCGGACGTCGTCTTCAGCAGACGGATGGAGACTCACCTTGGGCTTGACCTCTCTGGTGACTGTGCTGGATGCGGTGGAGGGTCGTGTGGACGCTGTGGCGGGCCGTTTGGTGCCAGCGGCTGGGGCAGGAGCTTTGGGCACAGGGGCTTTTTTGCTGAGGGGGGCGGGTGCGACAGCGGCTGAGGTAGGGGTGGAGCGCTTGGGCGCGGCTGTAGTGCTGGAGGCGGAGCTCGGCCGGGGCTTGACAGAGCTAGGTTTGGTTGCGCCGGCGACAGGCTGCATGGATGGACAGCAAACCCAACGGATGGATGGCAAACGATGAACAAAAAACAGAATAAGGACAAATGATAACAGCAGTGACATGAGCAGAGCACGCCGATAAAAGCACAAGATCAGATTCAGTCCAGACTAAATTTTCATCTAGAGTAAACATTAAGTTTACTCTGTTTATTAGATGGTCATGTAGGGATGGGAACCGTAAGTAATTTCCCGATTTCAGTTCCTTGATGCTAAGGAACTAATTTCTGAGCCACTAAAGGACCTGAATGAAAATTAATCTTAGTTTTAGTTAATTATAATAACTTTAAAACAATTAAAACATTTTTTGGTCATTGAAACAGCTTAAACTAAATATAAATATTAGATAGCCTTGGCAACCAAGTGAAATAAGTAAGCACGCAAGTACAGTAAGTATTTATTTATTTATTGTTTACATATAAGGAATAAAATTACTAACTGGAAAAAAACACAATTAAACTTAACCAATAAATAAATAAATAAATAGTGATATAAAAAAAAATAACGTAACACAATAATAAAAACATAACTAATTATATATATATATATAAACTATAATAGTACACAAATAATACTAAAATAGCAGTGTTTTGCTTTTGATTCACAATCTTCAACCCTACATAAATTACTAATGGGAAATAAGTAAAAATTAAAACTAAAATCAAAACGGGAAAAAAATGTGTATTATAAACTCATAAAATGACAAAACGTAACAAAATTAAAATTAAATTAAAATAAAAATGAAAATATAAATAGAAAAGCTAATTCAATATAGCAATGAAAACTATAATAGTACATAAATAATAATAAAATAATGTTCTCGATTCCCAACGCTACATAAGTGATGAATGAATTTTGGTTTGGTTTTGGCATTATTATGCTTTAAGAACAGAATCAAACTCATTAGCAGAAGCAGAAGCAAAAGCAGGAAGGTCAACGGAGGACGAAGAGACAACAGAAAGCTTTCACAAACCTTGGTCTTCTTCTCAGGACTAGTCAAGTCTTTTCCAGGTGCACCGTTGGTTACCGCAGGCTTGGCCGCGGAGGGTTTAGCAGCTGGTTTTTTGGCTTTCTCGTCCTTCTCAGCTTTGGCAGGTTTCTTGTCAGCCGGCTCAGTCTTTTCTGTTTTCGGTTCTACTTTGTCCTTTTCTGTCTTGTCTTGTTGGGTCTTCTGTTCTGCTTTCTCCTTTTCCACTTCCTTCACCTGTTCTTCTTTGTTCTTCTGTTCATCTTTCTCTACTTTCTGATCTGATTTGTTCTCCTCGTCTTTCTTCTCTACTTTCACTTCTTCTTCCGTCTTCAGCTCAACCTTTTCCACCGGCTCCACCTTCTTTTTCTCCATCTTTGGAGAGGAATCAATCTTTTCTGTCGTCTGGTTTTTGTCGTTGGTCTTCTCAACCTTATCAGCCTTTTCAGTCTCATCTTTAGTATTTTTCTCCAAAGGTTCGAACTTCTCAACTTTCACTGGCGTTTCTACTTTGTGAACTATTTCATTCTTCTCTGATTTAGCCACATCCACGTCTTTGATTTTGTCCACAGCTTCTGTGTTTTCTCCTTTGGTTGTCTGTTTGTCCGTGTGGACAGTTTTGTCTTTCTCCTCCACCGTTTCCATCTTCTGATCTTTGTCCGTCTTGGTGACAACATTAAAGTCATCGAACTTCTGGACAGTGTCCATTTTGTTCACCTCCGGCTTGTTCTTCTCAGAGTTTTCTGGTAGAAAGAAACAGGTTGAACAGTTGAAAACAGATTAATATATACACAAAAGCAAAAAAAAAAAAAAAAAAAAAACATCGTAAAAAAACTTGCTCAACCTTTTCCACCGGCTCCACCTTCTTTTTCTCCATCTTTGGAGAGGAATCAATCTTTTCTGTCGTCTGGTTTTTGTCGTTGGTCTTCTCAACCTTATCAGCCTTTTCAGTCTCATCTTTAGTATTTTTCTCCAAAGGTTCGAACTTCTCAACTTTCACTGGCGTTTCTACTTTGTGAACTATTTCATTCTTCTCTGATTTAGCCACATCCACGTCTTTGATTTTGTCCACAGCTTCTGTGTTTTCTCCTTTGGTTGTCTGTTTGTCCGTGTGGACAGTTTTGTCTTTCTCCTCCACTGTTTCCATCTTCTGATATTTGTCCGTCTTGCTGACAACATTAAAGTCATCGAACTTCTGGACAGTGTCCATTTTGTTCACCTCCGGCTTGTTCTTCTCAGAGTTTTCTGGTAGAAAGAAACAGGTTGAACAGTTGAAAACAGATTAATATATACACAAAAGCAAAAAAAAAAAAAAAAAAGAAAATCATGGTAAAAAAA